TTCCCTAATTCTACAGTTTTTTTAGATTTAATTACAAAGAAAAATATATGCAAAACATTTTATTTCTAAAATGGAGATATGTGCCTAATTAGATGAATAAGTCCTATCCCCCTGCCCAGCAAAAGGTATTTCAAAGACTCGTATTGTCATTGAATTGATTGATATTATTTATCAATGCCAATAAAAGTGGAAAGGCTTTGATTTCAAAAAAAAAAGAAAAAGGTTGTCTTTGAACCTTTGCCAGGAATAAGTTCCATGTCTAAGTTTTTTAAAGCAATAAGCAAATGAAATAATATTAGTAGCAGCCAGTAATCTCAAAACAAATTCAGGGCTTTGTTTGTATGTCACTTTTTTTTTTTTTTTAATTCTTGACATCAGTGAGATCATTATTTATGAGTGATTTAGAATAATTCATTTATTTTCCATTATTATTTCAAATAATAATAGTATCACTAAATACAATTATAGTAAGTGATGAAATTTCAGAATTAGAAATCATTTAATGAGCCAGTTATGGAGGTCATTTACTTCCAGGCTCTTTTTTAGGAGGCAGTGAGATTAAGCCCTTAAATTAAGTGATTTGCTCTAGGTTGATAGGGAAGTTATGACTAGTATCTGTTTCATTGTTCATATCAAGAGTCTTTCCATAGCATCATGCGCTGCCTTAGAAATATGTAAAAGGAGATTTATAAAAGTACATTTTTTATATCTATTATATTTACCACATAAATGAAAACTGACTAGACAAAAAAATTTTAGGAGTCAAAATAGTTCTCAGAGTTTTCAGGTTACTAGAAAGCATATAATAAAGCAGCACATTTACATCATCAAATTCTATGTTGGTGCCAAATGGTAGGGTGTTCTTAGAGATTTTATAACTATATGCAGTAATAGGAACAAGAATGTCACCTATCGTTAAAAGTCTCATATTTATGATATTTACTTGGGGGAATTTAATGCAATTTAACTGAAATTTATTCAAAATTCATATTTTGAATGCCTATGAATTTGTTTTTAAATGAAAAAGTGCAACAAAATGTTTGATATACAAACCACATCAAAGAGCCAGAAATTTTTCCAAAAATGGCTTACTAGTGACCTCTGCTGGTACAATGTTGTGATAAAGGTAGAAGTATCTCATGGAAATTAAGAATGAGATAAAGAATCTTTTAGGGCAAAGTTGTTCATTTCACTATCATTGATATTTCTAATTGAAAAAAAGTATCTTAGTGGGTTCTCTCCCACTGGCATTGACCAAGAGTATTATTCTAATAATAATAACGTTAAACTTCTTTATACTTTCTTGTATATGATATGTAATTCCAACCTGACTCTCTATGATTAGTTGCTTATCAGCTGAGTTGTTTGATATAATGCTGCAAATTCTTTTTCCTCTTTGTCTCTCCTGGCTTTGTGTTATATCATACATAGCACAGAACATTGCAAATGTAGAGATTCAGTAACTGTGGATTGAGTCATACTAGTTATTTATGTCATTTGCATAGACTGACTTTAATAGGAAAGTTTATGTCTGCGTGAGTTAAATGCATTATTTTTATGCACACTCAAAAATTAAAATGAGACTTTATATTAGAGAATGGATTTATTAGGAGAAATGATATTTTTTCTTTTATAGAAAAGATTTTCTGCATCACAGGTTATGATGGAATAAAAAATACTCAGTCCTTGAATATTTTCTTTATTGACACTTAATTCCTAGATGATTGTATCTAGTCCCATGGATTTGAGTACTACCTATAAACGAACCAGACCTCTCCCTTGAACCCACATCTATATAGCCAGCTGCTTGCTTCCTTAACATCTCCATTTATAGCTCACATGCATCTCAAGCTTAACATATCTAAAACAAAACTTTGGTTTTTCTCCTCAAACCTGTTTCTTTTGTAGTCTTTCTCACTTCAATAAATGGATATTGTATCCCTCCATTTGCTCAAGCCAAAAATATTTTAATAATTTGTAAATTCTCTCTTGTACCCCACATTCAAACCATCAAGAAATTCCACCAATTCTGCTTTTGAAATACATTCAGAGTCTTACCACTCCCCTCCACCTCTGCCACTGTGATCTAGTCCAGGCACAGTCATTTCTCTTCCTAATAAGCCTCTTTGCTTCTAACCTTGCCCTCCTGTAATCTATTTTCAAACCAGCAAGGTGATTATCTTAAAATTTAAGACAGATCTTCTCACTTCTCTGCTGAGAACCTTCCCAAGTCCTTATCATGCCTACAGGGCCTACAGGAATTGTAGACCACTCGCTCCCTCCACAGCTATTACTGTGATCTCATTTCCTACCACTGCTTCCCTCCAGCTGCAGTAATTCACTTGCTGTTCTCCTTACATGCCGTGCAGATTCCTTATCAAGGGCTTTGTGCTTGCTCTTCCTTCAGACTGAAATGCCCTTCCCTCAATTCAGTAAGGCTTCTGTTCAAATTACCAAATTCCACCTTCTCAGAGAGGCCCTTCCTGACTACACTATGTTAAAAACAAACAAACAAAAGGCCCAACCTGATCACTTGTTTCTCCCCTTGTCCTGCTTTGCTTTTCTCCATAGCAGTTATCACCACATGACATACTTACTTTTTTTTTTTATCCCATCTCTCCCCCTTCTAGAATGTCAGTGGTATGCAAGCAGAGATTCTATATTGTCCACTGTTACATCCTTAGAACCTAAACCAGTGCTTGCACGTAGTAGGCACTCCGTCAATATTTGTTGAATAAATCAGCGAGCCTTAATACGTGAATGGAGAATGTGATTTGATTTACATTATAATAACGGAATCCATCAAATAGTGAGGCACCTTTTAATGGGCTCTGTTTTGTGTAAATCTTTATGTTTATATCATACTTTTTACATTTAACACTGATTACAATAGTGTTTCATAGTTAGATTAGGGCTCAGACAATACTTTCGGTGTCAAAATGCAGGGCGGTATTACTATTTTAAAGATTCTTTTTCTGGGAATAATTACTTTTTTGTCCTTTTGACATAGACATCTGACCCTCAATTACATTAACAGACCTTATACACATGAATGGAAAGAAGAATAGCCCCTTTTGAATCCATGCTAAGACTTTATCAATATGAAGTGCTTCCCACAGGGTTCTGCTGAAAGAACCAAACTTCCATCATAATGAAATTGCAAATTCATTTGTAGATGCCCTTTTATATTTGAAAGCTACTTTTTGATGTTTGGTCTGCAGTTAGATTTATTGTTTAAGGTCACAAATATGCAATCATGACCAGACCAAGTTGTCAGAATTCTTTATCTATTCAGCATTGCACAAAGACAAATGGCTATCTTTTAACAATAACATACCAGAGCCAAAATTTGTTCCCAGTTGTACATAATCTTTTAATCAATCTGCTTTCTGTTTTCTAGTCAATAGACTCCCAGCCTAACCCCTCACCACCCCACCTATCTAGAAATTACTCAGTTATGGGTTTTAAATTACTGAGAAACACTTTCTTCAGATGGAAACAGATAACTTTAAGAATTTTAATGCTATAATTTTCCCATGCGTGCTTTAAGCTTAACATATGAATTATTTTGCCTTTGTCCTCACTCTATACAGAGTAGATAATTATATAGTATGTTAGCTAAATTCTCTGGTTACAATCTCACTGTTAACATGACCACAAAGTAGATTATGTTGCTTAATTGAATTCTTAAGTGCTTTAAAACATCTCAGTGCACATGGATTAAGTTTTTCCCTGAGATTCTATATGTCCTCCAATAAAAATGTATATTTAAAAATTTTTAGATAGATTTCTTATATTTTTGTTCATTTCCTTTGTGACCTTTCATATAAAAGGCATACAGAAAGAATTGTCCAGTTAGATTTAAGGCTGTACTTTTTGTCCGAGAATATCCAGTGTCTAATATTAACATACGTTAGAGCATCATTATATCACCAATCTTTATAGTTTCTCCAAGGAATTTTGATATTAGATACCCAAAGGTTCTCGGGTAACTTGATCATACCTATAGAGCAGACCATTAAGACCAGGATAGTAATGCCCCCATTTTAAAATCTTGTTTAAATACTTTTTGCAGATGTGAGAATCCCCTCCTCCCCCCCTACCCCAGTTGCCATGTAGTTTGAGTCTTCCCCAGTTAAAAAGAATACACTGTTTTAGGAGGCGGTATAAGAGAAAACCATAACTTTTAAGTCAGATGAAGTCGTTTTTTTTGTTTTTCCTGAATTCTGGCTACTATTTATTTATTTTGTGACCTCGGGGAAGTTACCACATCTGGGGGGCCTCTGCACAGCTGTGGAGTAGAGAAACACCTATTCATGAGAGTTGTGGTATAATTGAATGAGATGACACATATAAAGGGCCCAAAACAATGCCCAGCAACAGTAAGCACTCAATCATATTTGGAATCTTCCCTCTGTGCTCTCCTCTTCCACCCCCTATTCCTCTTGCTACGTTATCTGTTCTGATTGGGTTTACTCAGAAGTTAAAATTGTTAACTAAACTTGAAGGCTTTTTGTGCCTGCCAGCTCTACATTGCTCTGCATTCACTGAATTAATAAATAGGGAGAAGAAGTCAGGACCTTGAATTGACCTGTACATAATGCCCAGCAGGTGTATGTGGTCTTTCTCTCCGCAACAAATTGCTCCCCCAGGGACTGGCTAGCATGAAGAATACTCCGCTCCCAGCCTTCATTTTAAGTCCACATGGATCCCTTAGAAGATTTACTTTAAATCTCTCTTCAACCTGCAGATCTGACAATTGAGCCTTAAATTATGTTAATACGACATTGGGAAGGCATTATCATTTTAATCATTTTGTGTAAGATGGCTTGTTCATTGTTTGTTGTTTGTTTGACCGTTTGTACTGCTCAGATCATCGTCCTAAGAGTTTCACCTTTAAAAGAAAATCCTTTTCAGGAAAAAATTTAAAAGCTATTTAATACTACTACTTTATATCTCAAAACAAGTTATTTTATCATTGTAAATTTCTATTGCTTTAGGTGCAAAGATGGTTTGAAAGGATTTACATTCTCTGCACTTAGGTAAGTTGCATATTTTATTTATCTTTATGTTAAGAGAATTTACAAGTTAAGTTTTTTTTTAAAAGTAATATCATCGTACATAATTGTAATAAATATTTATTGACTCCACTTTTAAGTTGCAAACAATTTTAAAAGTCACAAAAGTGGCTTTGTGGACATTTCATTAACAGAGTAATTTGTTAATTTTCCCCCTAAAAATCAGTCAGTCAGCCACTATTTGGGGGGCCTATTATGTGCCCTACGATATAGGGTATTAAAGAAGATTACAAGAACTCTCTGTTTATGGAGCTTGGAAAGACAAAGCTACACGTGAACAATTACTGGAAAATGAAGCCCTTAATTGTGTGGTACCAGATTACGGGCTTTGTTAGGGCAGGACTCATGCATTGTCAAACACATTTTGTATTATAGGCTTCAGTAGAGTCACTGGAGTCTTCTTTTCACCTCGTAGCCCATCTCTTATCACAGTAATTGGCACATGGTCGATACTGTAGAGATGTTGGTTAGCATTAGTGTTGAATTTTATAGTTCACCAAACATTTTCACATACATTAGGAAATTAAACTTTCTCTATTATTGAATAGAGTATTTTTGGTTGTGGAAATTCTTTGGTAACGATAACTAAGTCATAACACAGCAGTAATTTCTTCATGTCATATTTTTCATTAAAAGATCATGAAACTTTTTAGAAAATAGCTTTTTGTTGTTGTTGCATTGGCTACATAGGATTCTGTGTAATTCACAGATTAAGTGAATTAAGTTTCACTGAAATCAAGTTTAATTAATTAAACTTAATTAAATTAATTAAGTTTAATTAATTAAATTAAGTGAATTAAGTTTCACTTAAATTAAGTTTCACCTTAAACTGAAAGTTGGTAACAAAATCAAAAGTTGGTTTTCTTAGAGAGAAAACTCTGCCATTGTTCCTGCATCTTTCCTTAGACTCCCAGAATCCTTGCCAAAACTCAGAATGTGTCGGATATTTGCATATGTTTTCTTCAAATCCACTTATAATGAAGAGCTGACTTGGACTATTTGCACTTAACATTTTCTCTATGTTACAGGAAAATATTCTGGAAAAATAGTTATTCACTCTTGCTAGTTCTGTAAGATAATAGTGGAAGTTAGGGGAATAGAAAGAGTCAAGGAGAGAACCACGGGAGAAGAGCCAGTGCAGGAATCTGAAGGTAGACTAAGGCTGATTCATCGTAGTTTAAAACATAGTTAATAATGTACAAGTTTGGTGACTAAGAACCCAGGCCTTAGAGTTAAACAGTTCTGGGTTCAAATAATTACTGATATTTTTGACTGTGGACAAGATGCCTTTTCATGTTAACTGTCATGGAAAGTATGGTACCTACTTCATAGTGTTTTGCTATGAGGGTTAAATGATTTAATCTTTGTCCAAGGCTCAGTGCTGTGCCTGTCATGTAGTAAATGCTCAGAAAATGCTCGCTATTACGATATTCCTTTGCTAGGTATTAACTAAATATTTATTATGTGCCCGACACTATGCCAGGCACTGGGATATAATAACAAAGAAGTTATCTATAGTCTCACAGATCCCACAGTTCAGTGGGGCAGGGAAACTACTAAAAAGGTGCTTCCAGTACTGGGGGATCACTGGGCTGTGAGAGCACAAAGGAAGGATGGCTCACTCACTCCAGCTTGGGGCAGGGGCAGCTTCTCCAAGGAAGTGAGCTCTAATCCGAATGGTAGGTCCTGGCCAAAATAGCAACACTTTCCTTTCAGTGTTAGGAAAGGTATGAGAGATATTGTATCTGTTCTAGCATAGTTTTACCTTGTTTATAAAGAGCACCATTCACACCCACGATTAGGAACCAAATTCTTTTGGACCAGCAGTTACCAAGGAGGCACAGCTGCCATCTGGTGACAAACAATCTCATTGCACGCCCCTTACAATTTGGTAAACTAGATGTTTTATCAAGTTTGTCCTAATGAGATGGGTTGCACTTGTTGATAGTAACAATTTTTCTCTCTTTTACGAGTATTTAAATTTGCTATAGTTCCCATGTTCTAGAATTTTAGTGTGGTGTTATTGGTCTCCTGTTTTATCTATGTTTTGTAATATTTTCTGAAGGTTCAGC